ATTTGGTTCTCCACTATCGAAAATGTGGGTATAGCCACCAACATTATGTCTCTACGACGTCTGGGAGAGTCCAGATATTTCAGAAAATCCGCTGGCGGTCATTTTGGATTTCAAGATGGCCGCCACAATACGCAAAAGTCAGCCTGGAAACATACCCAGTGGAACTCTCCAAGTATCATAGAAATGATATTTACCCGTTTCCAGCCTCTACCCAAAAAGTTTAGGGTCATCCTTATTTTGGATATCTGCCGCCTGACTAAGAGTCCCTCTCTTGAACTCGATGTTTTTCTGCATTCCTCCAAAAGTGCATGCCTGCATTGTTTGTCGCCAGTGATCAGCGATTCTGTGCCCCACACTAGTTACATATTACTTAATACTTAATTATATATATGATAAATATATAAAATGATTTGTAATGATTTGAAATGAATTGTATAATTACAAACCTCTGCCTATCCTATATGCTACAGTGCAGATCATTCGGAAAGGCATGGCGAGTGGCGGATTTAGGATTTTGAAAAGGAAAAGACTAATATGTGCCATCGCAAGTGAGAACCACGATGTCATATACTGATTCCTACATTTTTCACTGCAGTTAGCTGCAGTTAGTCTCTTTCATAAAAAAAACTACCGTATAATGCTAAACACAAATTGTTTATATATAATTTCGTTGAAAGTATGCACCTATAACGAGCACACACTCAGAGGTAATTAGATATTAAAACATTAGATATTAATCATTTTGTTAACTATTATGCGGAGAATCCTCCACACCTCCTTAAAACATGCGACAGATTATAGGGTCAGACATACGCGCATGCCTACCCAGGGGCGGATCCAGAGGGTTTGGGTGACCAGTATCCATATGTTCTTTTGCAGCTAGGGGGGTCCGGGGGCATGCCCCCGGGAATTTAAAAAAAATTAGGCTATATTTGGTGCATTCTGGTGAATTTTGAGGCCTGTGACCGGTTTCTGGAAACCGGTGCAAACGGCCTAAATCCGCACCTGCTACCATCTGTTATGGGAAGTCACATTTTGTTGGAAAAATGCATTTAAAACAGAAAATACATACACAGGAGTAGGCCTCCATAAAATATGTGAAATATGTGCGTTTTTCCTCTCTTAAATAATAAGAGTGAGCCCAATCTCGTCGACATCCAGATCCCGTACATTTTGTTGCTGTCATTGGTCGGCGCTAGTGTCGCGCATGAAACGTAGTATATGGAGTTAACGAAATATATCCATATATTATTTTGTTGAAATTATACACCGGTAGTCAACACATACTCAGAAGTAGTTAGGTATGAAAAATTTTGATCCCAATGAACCACAGGTCCCAAGGCCTACTAACATAGCTTCTTTCCAAGCTCCTTTAATACTGTTGAATCGCTACCCCCACTAAATCGTTACAACTGAACGATGAAAGATTGAAGGTTTTCTGGAACAACATGACATTATAGAGTGTGTGCCATCTTCAACAGATAGCTAACGATTCCTGCCTACTCCTGCCTCCTCAAAGAGAGTCTCTTCACAACAGAGCTCACAGATTATTAGCATCACACCATGCATCCATCTTCAAGATTCTGTTCGTTAAGTCAGACACGCCTTT